TCCTATCAGCATTCCAGTCTTCTGTGCTCCCACCAGAATCACCCATCAAGCTCTACTCTCAGTGTTCCGAGTTTCCTCTAGTCTGTTTCTCCAGATCTTTTCAAATTCTCCCCCACGTACTAGTTCCAAAGGCTTATGAATCTCATGGTCAGATGTGGTTACAGCAATGACCTCACTTCTTGGTACCAAATTTCTGTTAACCAACTTTTCATCACTGTGACAAAACACCTGAGATAATTAACTTAAAAGGTGGAAGGAATGATTTTAGCTCATGATTTTATTTGTTTCAGTCCATGGCTGGCTGGTTCATTGCCTTGGGCCTGAGGCAAACCAGAACGTTGTGGTAGTGGGAGCATGCAGCAAAGAAACCTGCTCACCTATTTGGGGTTTTGCAGATAGCAGAGAGAGGAGGCACCTGGGCACAAGATATACCCTTCTAGGAAACACCCCCAAAGAAATATTTCTTCCAATTAGACCCCACTTCAAAGTTTCTACCAGCTCCCAGTAATGCCATCAGCTAGCAACCAAGCCTTTAGTACGTGGCATTTGGTAGGCACTTTAGATCCAATTCATAACACCAACCATATTTCCTTATGACCTATTTCTATATGAATATGGTTTGTCAGCTCCTGCAGCTGTCTCTAGTATCCCTGAGTGTTTATGCTTATAAAAATATTGTTATTATTGTCTATTTTATTGTATAAATGGCTTTTATTATATGTTTCTCAAATGTAAATAGATGTATTTAAAGTTTTTAAATTATTTTTTCATAATTATACCATTGAGATTTTTGATCTTTTGGAACTTTAATCCTTTGGGATACCAACATATGATGTTTTGTCTTTTCGGATTATGGCTTAATCCCAATTTCTATGCATGAGTGCTAGTTTAACAGTATGTTGATTATGTTTGGAAGGGATTTGTTTAGGTCCAGAAATACCAAGTCTCCATCCTATTCTTAGAAATCCAAATCTGATTAGAAGACTATGTCTGTTGGCTTTGACATCTGGAGTATGTGTTACAAACAACTGAATATTTATATTAGCAAATAACCAGCAATATAGTTTTTTAAAATTCCAGTCTACAGAATATTTTTTAAGGCGTGGTCACTGGAGGTAGAATAAACTCTTACCATGATCCTATGAGAACATATGTGACTTGATTCTTACCCACCTGCTAAAACCTCATGTTCTACCATTTTTCTTTTGTTCTTACTATACTTGTGTCTTAGTACACTGGCCTTCTTTATATTCCTCAAATAAGTCATTCTCATTCAGAACTTTTGCTGTTATTGTTTACTCTGCTTGGAACACTTTTCAAGTGAGTTATGCTCATTATTTTTGAACCAGTCAGTAAATTCTCTGGCTTCTTTAGGCAAATGTGACTCTAATTCATTAAAAGTTCCTGTAATTTCATGAGCTGAAAGGAATGGCAATGCAGAGAAATGATAAGTTTTAAAACTGCAGTTTTTGTCATTGCTGTATCAATAGCCAATCTCTTTCTCAAAATTTGGCTTTCTATAGCTTTTATGCAGCATTTTTTCATGGGAATTATGGTTTTGGGGATTATAGCTTTCAGGATTTTATCATACAGGATTTTAATCTTTTAGGATTGGGCTTTAGGGATTTTAGTCTTTAGAGATTTTAGACTTTATGGATTTTGATCATTTTAGATTTCAACACTTGGAATTATAACATACAGGGTTGGGTCTTTGGGATGATAATTGGCACCCATATGAATCTCTTATGGGAAAAATGATCTTCAGGAACTAAGGGAAAAAATTGGGGGTGCCTTGACCTCATTTGAACAGATAAATGTTCAAGGAGTTCATTCACTGTTATAGATATTTATAACTCTATACTAGGATCTATGCTAGTTATTGGGAATTCAATAATGAATAAGATAAACTCCCTGCTGTCAAGGAGCTTATTTCTATAAATATCATCACCATCTACAATGTTACTCAATATTTACTAGCGTTTCTTATATAGTACTTCTGTTACTAAATGCATAAACTCATTCAATAGGAAAGCTAGATAATTAAGAACTAAATGCATAAAAATAAAAATATATAACAGGTAATAATTTTTGTAAAGAAATATAAAGCAAGGTATGATAGAGAGATGACTAGCAACTTGAAGATGTTTATGTCCTAATTCTTAGAACCCGTCAATATGCTATTTTAAGTAGCCAAAGGGACTTTGAAAATTCAATCGAGTTAAGGATTATCTAGGCAAGCCCAATGTGATCACACATTTCCTTATAAGAGGGAGGGAGAAAGATCAAATTCAGAGAAAGAGAGGAGATATAAGCAGAGAAGGGAAGATGCTAAACTGCTGGCTTCAAAGGAAGAAGTGACAGGAGTCCTTTTCTGTATTTTCTCAAGAAATTCAGGCAGTCTCTACAAGCTAGGGGAGGAGAGGACTTATTTCTCTCCCAGATGGAATGCAGGTGTGCTGACACCTTGATTTTTTTTTTTTTGTCCAGTGAAATTGATTTTGGATTTCTGACCTCTAGGAATGCAAGGGAAGACAACACATTTGTTTCAAGTCACTGAGTTGAGATAATTTGTTATGCCAGTGATAGGAAACAAATACACAGTATTATAGGATGGTGGATTATGGAAGGTATTCAGGAATGATGTCTTGAGGAGGTGATCCTTAAACAAAGAAGTGAGTCATCTGCTTAGCTATGGGAAAGGGAGGAGGGGGCTCCAGCCAGGAACATTAAGGACTAATGCCCTAGGAAGGGACTATGCTGTGTGTCTGAGGACTGGCAGGAAGGCTTGTGTGACAGAACAAGGGGCAAGTGTTAGTAGGCATCTTGGAGAGGTACTCAGGGGCCTGATTATGTCCAATCTTTAGCCTTGCTAAGCATTTCAATTATATTCCAAGAGTGATAGGAAGTCTCTGAAAGGTATGAGAAGGGAGTGATATGATCTCCTCACTTTTAAAAGAACAATGCAACTGTGAGTGGAAAAGAGGCTCTAAGCTGAAAGTGCCAGTACAGGGGGAAGGGAAAGCCAAAAGGTGGAGGATGTTCACCTGAGTGGTGCAGAGTAGGATGAGAGCAGGCTGGAAGGAGCATATTTTGAAGATGGAGTGACAGGATTTGTTGGTGGGTTGGATGTGAAGTATGGGACAAAGAAGATGATGATATCAAGGATCTTAATGGCACTATCTGTTGATTTGAAATAATTTGGGACAAACATGTTTGTGGTGTGAAACTGTGAGTTTGATTTTAGGTGTGTCTCAGATGCTTATTGGACAGCCAAGTGGAGGTGACAGGTAGGCAAAGGTCCTAAGAAGTAACCATTGCCTTGGCTTTCATGAGTTTTTAAAATGCCAGTGAGAGTCAATCCTGCGGATTGCCTTACAGCTGTGAGTACAGAACTGCAAATCATCCTGTGAAGGGCACCAATCCCTTCCCCACCAATGACTGCTGAGTGAGCCACCTGAAGCCTGCATGGGGCTTAGCAGCAGCTGCACTTCTGCTCCAAGAAACAGCTCACAGCAATCAGATCAAAAGGAAGCTTTTTGCTTGCCCTGGAAGCCTGGGTATTTGTTTTTAGGGCATTGGCCAGGAAGAGTCCTAGCTTAATTGACACAAGAGCTTTATGTCTGAAAAGGATTTGGCGAGATCTACCAAGAGTCTGAGCAGAGTCTGGATAAGCAATTCTACAGTTAGCTCTTGTGTCTGACTTTGCAGTATGACCAAGATGAGAGAATGAGAAGTGGCTGCCTAGCTGATGGATTTGTTTAAATGCTACACACCAGGCCTAGATTCATAGCACTAGGAATTTAATTTTCCCTTAAGCTCCTGACTTTTTTTCCTACAGAGGATTATCAATTTATTAAAAAAAAAAAAAGCAAAATATCTCCTGCACAGGGGTCTCATTTTCCCCGTGCCTGCTTTTCCATTACAAATTATTAATTACAAACTATTAGCTTCTTGTGCTGTTATACTACTTAGAGCAATGATTCTCATCTTTACCTAAATATTGTAATCACCTGAGAACCTTAAAAAATCCTGAAGTCTGGGTACTACCCCTGGAGATTCCAACTCAATTGTCTTCAAGTGTAGCCTGTACCACTAGATTTTCAAAAGCTCTCCAGGTAACTCTATTATGAAGCCAAGATAGAGAACACTAGCCTTCAAACTCTCTGCTTTGCAAATTAACAAATAATTTCAGGAACTCCAACTATCCGCAGAAAGTTAAAGGTGAGTGCCAGGGGCTGGTCTCCTTTTTTTCAAGTGACACTGCTTTACAGGTCTAGCCTTTTGGAGAACAAGCCTGCTGCTTGTAATCTGTACCCAGGAGTGCCAGATCCAGGGAGACTACAGAGGAGATATCTTGGGGAAGGTAGGACCCTGATTCTTACAACATGGAGGCACTTTCCCTTAATGCTAACTTTGTCAGATGCAAATTCATCAGTCCACGCCAGGGGTTTGGCGAGGTGAACCTGCATTCCATCCCAGCTGCCTAAAGATCAGCTCTTCCTGGCATGCAAACGTAGTTCCAAAGAGCCTCTGCTCTCCTGGGCGGCCTTCTGGAAAGGTGGACCTACAGGGGCTCCCACATCACCTAGTGGCTTCTTAGAAATGCAGTATTTGGGGCTCCCTTCTAGTGCTACTCTGTAAGAATCTGCATTTGAACAATATGCCCTGAGGAGGCTTGCGCTAGTCAAAGTTTGAGGAGTTCTGGTTTACACGACTCAGAATTATGCAGTGCGCTAAACCTACGGACCGTGAGTACTGAGCGGAGGAAGCCACCTTTTCCTCCTCCCGACCCGGGTCTTTGGTGGTGGCGAGTGGCTGACACTCAGGCTGCCCCGGCCAGGTGCAGGACGAGGCCCCGCCCGCGCGCCCCGCCTCCCTCTTGGCCTGGGCGGGACGTCGTTGCTGTGGCAGCGCCGGACGCTGCGGGAGCGTGACGGTCGCGGCGTCTACCACCTCCCGCAATCGCAAGGCCTCCCCGGACCCCAGCCCGCTGCGCCGCCATGCCCCGGGGCAGGCGCGGGAGCCGAGTGAGCGCCCTGGAGGCTGGCGGGGAGGAGGAGGCGCCCCCGGCGCGGTCACAGTGTCCGCAGCAGACCCAGGCGGCGGAGGAGCAGATCTTGCTCAGGGGCATCTTCGAGATCGGGAGGGGCAGCTGCGACGTGGTGCTCAGCGAGCGCACCCTGAGCTGGCGGCCCATTCAGCCCGAGCGCCCGGCAGGTGAGCCGCGTCCCCGTGCCCACGCCCCCTGCGCCGCCTCCCCGCCCGGGGCTCCTCCTCCTTCCCAGCTAGGAGTCCCCGGCCACCCAGGTCCTCCACTACCCGCCTCCCCCCGCTGACTTCCCGCCTGGTGCCTTGCCCCCACCGACGTCACCTTAGCTTCTGCTCCAGGCTCCAAAGGAAACCAGCAAAACTCAGGGGAGGAGATTGTCACACAAGGGAAGGTCACTCTCCCTTCTCCAAACTGAAGTTTTAATCCCACTTCTGATGGCATACACAGTTCACAAAAATATGCCTGCACATGGGTTCTCTTTTTGCTGACTTCTGATCATTTAACTTCGTGCTTTGAGTTCCCGGGTTTTTCTAGTCCTCATGCTCCTTGTCACTATGGAGCTTGAAGGCTGCTTCAACTGCATTCTTGTAGACGTTTTGGATTTTAATGTTGGCTCTAGAGTATCTCATCAAAAATTTGAGATTTACTTGAATTTTTCAGTCGGCTTGAAATTTAGAAAATGCTATGCTGCTCCATGTAGCAATAGGTCTTCATCTAAAGATGACTTAATGGAAAATTTAGGAATATGGCACACAGTTTGTTTTAGCTAAATATGATTTGCAGGATTAGAAACAATCACCTTCCCCTGATGAAAAGCAAGGCACGGTGTGCCTTTATTCATGTTACAGAACAGAAGAAGTCATTTTTTGAAGTCTCTTGTTTAAACTTCTGATCAGGGACTCAGCACTGGCTATGAGAGTGAATTCTTTTATTTATTTATTTATCTATCTATTTTTATTAGGATATATTCATTGTTCAGGGGGGATTTATTGTGACAATTCCAAGTAGACTTACATTGTACATTGGTTTGATTGCCCCCACATCTCTCCCCCTGGACCTCCTCTCTGTCCCACTTCAAGGAATTGCAAGAGGTTTTGTTCTATTTCATATGGGTATATGAAGTCCGTCAACCATGTTCCTTCACCTTAATCTCCTTCATTCACCCTTCCTCCTCCTACACTACAAGTACCCCTCCCCAACCACACACTGTACCAATTTTATAGTCTTGTCTTTCCTTATAAACTTCTATGTCAGTGTTCAAAGGGGCTTCTCTATGTATCCTCACTTGATTATACTTTTTTTTGGTTTGTTCAACCCCTTCCATTACTCTCCCTTACCCCTTTCCTCCCCAACCCATTTTTGACAGCTTTCAATACACATTCTTGTGTCCTCTACTTTCACAGATGTTATGTTTTATGATATTGTTGATGCTTTCTTTTTTCCTTTCCCTCCTTCCCCAAGCTCCATAAAGTACTTCCACTATTACCAACATGTTCTACATATGAGTTGTATATGATCATGTTTTTTTGCATGTATATGTTTATCTTTTGGATCTATTTTCCACATATGAGAGAGAACATGTGGCTTTTGTCTTTCTGAACCTGGCTTATTTCACTTAACATGATGTCCTGCTATTGCATTCATTTACCTTCAAGCCGTTCCTTATGGCTGTATATGTAACATATTTTCTTCATTCATCAGTTGTAGGGCATCTAGGTTTTTCCATAGCTTAGATATTGTGACTAGTGCTGTGATATACATCAGTGTGCAAGTGTCTCTGTTGTATCCTGAATTAGATTCCTTTGGGTAGATGCTCAGGAATGGTATCACTCGATCATAGGGCAGTTCTATCTTCAGCTTTTTGAGGACTCTCCATACTGCTTTCCATAATGGTTGGACTAATTTGCATTCCCACCAGCAGTGCATAAGGGGTCCTGTTTTGCCACATCCTTGCCAGCATTTGTTGTTTTTGCCCTTGAATATGGCCATTCTAACTGGGATGAGATTAAATCCTAGTGTAGTTTTGATTTGCATCTCTTTTATAGTCAGGGAAGTTGAACTTTTTTCATGTATTAATTGGCTATTTGTTATGAGTATAAATTCTGCCTCTGCTGCATATGCAATGATGGTCACTTAACTGAAGCTACTGTTGACTTTAATTAAGATGTTGTCAGGTGTTTTGAAAACCCAGGATGAAATATTTGCTTGAACCTTTGAAGTCACAAGCAAGTGTCATGGTATAGAATTAGCTCAAGCTGACTTAAAGACTAATAGAATATGGGATATATAAGTATATAATTAGAGTTTAGATTAGCTCAAAGAGCCAATTTAACTTACAATGAAGCTAAAATACTATAGAATTAAAACAAGACATTGTGCAATGAGAGGCCACCCAAATCAGTGTGGCAGAGCTTGTACACAAAAGCAAATAATGACATGCAAAAAGAAATGCTGTTTTATATTGAGTGGTGATTGAGGAAAAATAGGTTTAATTAGCACTCCTGGTAATAGAATTTTAAGACATCTTGACAGTTTTACAACTCTCAAGTTTGCAAGTGCTGATTTTTTGTTTAATTTTGCCCTAAAACCCTTTGGTTTTCTTTTCCTTCACATGAGTGTACTACATTTTCTTAGCAATTAACACCTGATATTTAAACTACTTTGGGCCTCTCAAATTGGAGCCATAGAAGCCTAGCACCCCAGTAAGTACTTCTATTTATAGAAAAAACCAAGAGGTGTTTTATTTAGATAAAACAAGTGGGAAAAGAGAAGATATTAAAAGATGATATAAAAGAAGTACTCCCTGATGTTGAATTAGCTTAGATGTGAGTGATGAAAGGCAAGCGAAACTGGGTCAGAGAATGGAGGAGAAACTACATTCAAGGTTACCATACTTGGGAGGACATAGTGAGGTAGGACTTGGAAGGGGAGATCATAACTGTTGCTGGTTGGCAGGTGACTAATTGTCCCAGGAAGGGTGGGGATAGGGTAAGGAGGTCTCTGGACATTATTAGATCATAATACAAGATGTTTTCGAGACCACCTAGTTTTAAACCTGATAGTGCGTTTGTTTTCAATGATGAAATAAAATACCATGTGATCTTTCCCTAATTTTCCATCTTGAACAATGAGCAAAGACACTAATGTATTTTATGAGGGCTATCACTGCCAAAGTTACAACTAATTGATGGTCTTGCTGGCAGAGTAAATGATATAGCCATAGCAATTTTAGTTCTCTTTATTGGGTTCAAGGGTGACTTGGAATAATGGGTGTGTTACTCTTCCCTGTAGAAGTGAGGCTTGTGAGGAGACCCAACAAATCAAGGTGGGAGGCTTACCCACCAGCACTTATTTTGGGTCTTTTTAATAGAGGAAATGTTTTCAGTTTAATACATTAGATCTAGTCAATGAAGGTAGTAACTTGGGTAGTAGTTATTTTATCAACAAATTAGAGATTTTGATATTTAGTGCTATGATACTTTGCTAGATGCTATGAAGATGTAACATGGTGACCTGGTGTCTTTGCCTTCATGAGACTTTTACCTTTTAGAAAGATATATGGTTCTGACTGTATGTCACCAATCATTCATTCATTAAACATTAAACGACTAGTGTGTTTTGAGAAGTAGTATGAAGATCCATGCGATGTGAGCCTTGTCTTTAAGGATTTCAGTGTGTTCATATGCAAGTGATAATCTGTTTTAGACAAGAGTATTATCATGGAGGATCATTTTCTATTTAAGTCCCTTCTTTCACAAAAAACTGAGTTAAAAAAAACAGTAAAAAAAGCTGAGGGTTTATGTGTTGTGTTAGTTTACTAGGAATGTAATAAATTTTCTCAAACATGGCTTAAAACAGCAAGAGTCTATTCTTTCACAGTTCTCCAGACCAAAAATCAGAAATCAAGATGTCAGTAGGGGAACAGGGGTATAGCTCAAGTGGTGGTTGAGTGCTTGCTTAGTGTTTACCCCATCTTGGGTTTGATCACCACTCTCTGAAGGCTCTGAGAATCTTTCCTTGCCTCTTTCAGCTTTGCTATCTCCTGGCATTTCTTGGCTTGTGGCAGCATACCTCCAATGTTTCTGTGTGTCTTCACATGGCCTTCTTTTCTGTGTGTCTCTGTGCTACTTTCCCTTCTTATAAAGACAGTCGTCATTGGATTTAAGAACCTCCCTGAATGTAGTATGTATTAAAATCTTTAACTTAATTATATCAGCAGTCCATTTCCCAATATAGTAATATTCAAGGATCCAGATATGAATTTTGGGGGCCACTATTCAAGTCACTAAAGGTGTAATGGGAATGGGGGAAAATTCTGGGTTGAAGAAATAAAATAAAGGCCTTTTTCTGGGAATAGTGACTGGTAACATCTGTGAGAGTGTAACAAGAAGAGAATAATTCACAAGTAAATACAGCCCTGAAGACAAAAATAATGAGGTCGATTTTATAAAAATTAATACTTTATTATTATTATTTTTTGAAATGCTGAGGATTGAACTCAAGTCCTTATGAATGCTAGGCAAGAGTTCTACCACTGAACTACATCCCCAGTGCTGAAGTTAAGGTTTTATTTAGTAGAAAATATGAAAATTTCCCATTTTTCTTCCATCGTACTCTGTTGTATGACTTCTTTGTCCCAAGTCCTGCCATGGGTGATGGTCTACCACCATGTCTATGGAAACTTCCGACCTTCTAGACTCCTTCCATTCTAGTGCGCTTCGCCTTCATGTTTGTCTCCCCCCATGGCTACAGTGCAGATGTTTGTCATCTCTCTCTCTTTTTTTTTTTAAGTTGGTTATTTAAAAATTTATTAGTTTTTTTACAGTTAACTTTGAGAGTGATATATTAAATTAGCCCTTTGAATTTTTTATTTTTTAATTTAATTTTATTTTTAATTTTTATTTTATTCATATGTGCATATAGTGTTTGGGTCATTTCTTCCCCCTTCCCCCGCCCCCTCCCTTACCTACCCTGGCCTCTCCCTCTCCCCCACTACACCCTCACTACCAGGCATAAACTATTTTGCCCTTACCTCTAATTTTGTTGAAGAGAGAGTATAAGCAATAATAGGAAGGAACAAGGGGTTTTGCTGGTTGAGATAAGGATAGCTATACAGGGCATTGACTCACATTGATTTCCTGTGCATATGTGTTACCTTCTAAGTTAA